TCAAACAACTGTCCTTTATCCTGGCAGTTTAACACCTGTTGTACTCCCTACAAAGGGTTTTGGCAATTTAGTGTTTTCCTGCTTTTTGTAAAATCTAAAACTTTATTTGGACTAAACATCACTTTAAGGTTCTTGATTCAAGCACATAATGCTTCCTTTTAGGTTTTTTTTTTTTTTTTTGGCCGGGGGGTGGGGGGTTCTGGAGAAGAAGGGGTCAAGGAGTGCATGGTGCCTACCAGATTATAGTCAAACGTGTTCAAAAGCTAACAAAAAGTAAAGACAATCCATTGTGTGTGTCTGTGTGAGCGAATAACCAAATTGGCTAATTTAAAGCAGCTTTACTAAGGAAGCAGTTTTAAAGAGTACAACATGCCCATTTAAAAATGGCTGAGATCCAGCTTTTAAATTATGTTACATTTACAATAATTAAGATAAACACAGGAAAAATGCCTTTAAGGATATCCTAATTGAGGATAATCATCTTTTTAGCATGAACAATGAGAGGATACTCACAGGTTGCAAGGCTAACAGAAGTTCGTTCAGAGGATTGGTTAGGTTGGTGCCAAAAATTATAAACCCATAGCTGATGCCAGCAGAGTGAAGGGCTTTATCCAAACTAAAAAACACAAAAATATAGGAATAAAGATAAAATGGAAAACTACTACAATGCCCCTTTTGTTGCATAGTTCCTGCTTTTTATTACATTGATATTTTATGGGAAGAATAGTGTTTTACAGTGACTTACTTAGAAATGAACAGGGCAACAATAAAGAGCATTGCAACCAGGATGAAGAAAATGCCCAGTACGATCTGTGAATAAAAAAATAAATAATTAAATACATGAAAATCAGTTATTACAGTCTGTAAATAACAAGGTGAAGGATGTGCACTCTATCAAGAGCCTTTGTGAACTCTGAAGAAAACAATGTTTCCAAAGGTTCTGGGTCAGCAGATATAACCTCAATATCAAGTCTTTTGCCAAAGAGAGACCATATGGCATTGGAGAGGCTCAGTTTGGCACTTCTGACTAGGTGTCAGTGGGAAGCAAAGGCACAACCCAAAAGGGTTGGGTTACTCAGTAGGTTACAACCAGACAAGCAAAAAAACAGGTGGTGGCAAAAAATTGAAATAAAGCTGAGTACAAACTGAAAAAAAAAAATGCATTTATTATACCATACAGTATGTTCTAAAGACGGAAGACACATTTTATACCTAAAAAAAAATAAATCACAATGTAACATAATGCATAACGTAGGCTATTTCATGTAATATAAAAGCATGACTGCATGAAATAAGTGTTCATATACAAGAAATATGTAACACAGATGTCTGCATTCATTAGGTAATTATTCATAGGAAACCTTTTCTGTTTATGTTCTTCAACCTTTATTCAACCAAGCCTGTAAAAAAGACAGAAAGTGCTGTGATGCAAAATCCTAACTACATTTAATACAAGCWATTCAACAAGATGTACTGCGTCAAACTTTATCTACACATTCGACAAAAACTGAGCCAAATTACAGAAGAGATGAAAACCTTCACTCAGTGTTGTGCTATCATTTACTTGACTATAACATAAACAGCTTAAACAAAGTGGAGAAAACGGGAAAATATTAGAGCCGAAACCATAGGTCTCAATTTTGAAACAAACACACCTTTTCATTTTATATCCAAAGTTAAAAGATTCACTTAGAAATGTAAGAAGTTTTTAAAAACAAAACAATAAAAACTTTCATAAAATCCAGATTTACACATTTGTTTTAAAATCCCACCAAAACAGTGACGGTTTTGCCAAGTAATTGAACATGTCGACGGTCAACATGTTGAGTAACTTGGTTTACCAGGAATAGTAACACAACGTGCCCAGAAGACAGTGCTGCCACTGAAATTACAACCACTTTGCTTATCATTCAACACCACTGTCTTAGAATACAATAAATTAATCTCTCAACTCATTACTRGGAATTCGAGTCTAGGGACTGTCATTAGCAGCAGCCCTCTTGGTTAAAGACAAACTGTTACAGATACTGGGAGAAAATGTTTGTGCAAGCCTGCAGTAAAACCAAACAGTGATAAACAAATTGCAGCAGAGAAGTAACAAGTGAACTACAAGCTAATATTTGAATTGGTTTTATTGCTAACAACTCTATCTCTGACAGAAAAAGTGAGACTAAAATAGTATGTAGCTGTCGTACAACACAGTCTGTTAATGCTTGAGGATCTTATACATGTTTGGGATAACTCTCAGCGACTACCAGACCAAATTTTAGCCCGCTGTTCATCAAATTTAATAAGTTTACTTATTAAATAAGTACTTAACACAAAGTACTTAGTACTTTGTGTTTTTTTTTGCTTACACACAGACAAATGACCACATGCATACATGTACAAATGAGGGTAATTAATTGCCCACTTTTTATGGCTGCAACTAAACATCCAACTTTCTGACTGAAGATCCCCACTCCATTACTAGCTGTGTTTCCATTGCAAATGTGCGCAAAACTTTGTTGATATTCTGTTAATGTCGAAAAAACACAGTTTCGCAATTGCAGTGTTACCATTAAGTAAGAAACGCTATTAAAGTCATGCGTGAATATGCTTGTTCTCGCAATAATTCATTACAAYCATGGTGGCAATGGATGTAAACACGACACTAGCGCTCATCATCAGCCATCAGAGGAGACGTTGGTGTATTATCGAGGCTTTCGAGTGACAAGCCCCTTAGACTTGGGAGCGGCTACGTATGCTGCGTTTTTGGGAAAATGTAGGTGGTGAGTTTAATACTTTCTTTTACTACTTCGGTGATTTCACTACTACTTTTACTTCCTGTTATCTTCTTCGTCGTCGTCTTTTCGCCAGTAGAAACAGCCGGTTCTTGATCACGTGACTCCCGTGATGCGAAAAAAGTGTTTCCATTGCAGTTTTGCAAAATACATCAATTTCGATACGGCCGAAAAACCACCTCATCCTAGCGCAAAAATATTTTGTCGAAAAACGCAATATTTTTCGAAATTGACGTGTTTCCATTGAGCAAATTTATTTTCAAAATTCTAATTTGCACATTTTCATGGTCAATGGAAATGCAGCTACTGAGCCCAATATGGAACAGTTCAAATCAGTGAAATAGCCCAAGTCAGAATAAATAAAAACATTGGGCCTCATGCAAGAACATGTTCGTATTCTTATCCTAAATTTCTCTTAATTTTGTTCGTACGAAGGGTTCGTACGAACAGGTTACTTCAGATTCAACAAACTCTTCTATCTTCAGGAAGTGTGTAAATGAGCTGCGTAAATTCCACCTGTTCGTATCCAGCTGCTCGTGCACGAGGAGAGGTTATTTACATAATTACTACCCCAAAAACACCAAATAAGGATATGTTTCCTGCCCCACATACCAGGAAGTGTCCATTCATGAATGACATAGCAGTGTAAAAAAGAAGAACTTTACGAGTTCGGAGATTGTAGACCTGCTCTCCGAGAGCGAGAAAAAAAATTGTTCTCTTTAGCAGTGTCATGTGGAATTAAAGGAGATGCTTAAAGGAATGAAATATGCTTTTAATGTCGTGTCTCCTGTGGGTCGTTACAGTCACAGAAATAAAAATATAAATCATATTCATCTCTCTCTAGTCCAGCTCCGGTTTTTCTTTAGTCAAATATTTTTAATTTAAGCGTAAACAACTGTGTTACTGTGTTTACATTTATTCAGAAGAAGGGTGGTTGCGCACCGCTACTCCCCCCCAACATGGCCGTCTCCCCCCTCCCTGTGGTCGCAAGTGACAGATGCGGTTCTGAAAAGACGCATTTTAAAACGTTTCCGAACTTCAATTAATGCATAATTTAAGTTGTTTTTTAGTTTGAGATCTTCATATTAATATTGTAGTGTTATACAACAGCATTAAAAGACAGTTTAACTTAATCTTATCAATTTATGTCATTAAAATCTAATTCCAGTTCAAACAGAATAACCTATTGTCAACATAATTATGGAGTGTGATTTATTTTCAACTCAAAATATTTTCTAAATACTGAAATATAAAGTTCTTAGTGAAGAAAATCCATCTGGATAACAGCAGACTGACTGCTCGTAATATATACGACAGGTCTGGACCACTCGTGAATTTTGTTCGTATCTGAAAAAAATCTTAGAATACAAAAACATTGGTGAATGCCACAAATTCTCCTAAATCACTCGTAAGCACAACTTAAGAACAAATCTGTGTGTACAAACGGTTCTTGCATGAGGCCCAATGTACTCATCAATGCTCATGACTAGATAAGTTCAAAGAGTAGGACAGTACAAAAGTTGGCACCAACATGTCCAAAGCTAGAAATGTTTTTGAGACTTGTATAGAAGTTTTTTTTTTAAGATTCCTTCTCTCTGACCCCTGAGTCCTAGAGAAATATTGAAACATTAATATTAAAATTGCATTTGTGAGGTCCAGTTATTGGCTGACCAACCCAGGAAAAAAGTAAAATCAAAGACAGGGTTGTGGGTGTTTTGGTATGCCGCTTGGGAAATGTAAGATCCTGTCTGAGAAATGCAAGACTCCCTTAGAGACTTCAGAGTAAATTAGGTGAAGAGACGACCCCTGGGACTCGTGTAAATATGCGGTAGTGTAAAGTAGAACTGAAAGTAAATCTAGAGCAGTCCAAATCAGAACTTGTGCAAAAGGAAAATGTTCAGTGAAAGTACAGTAGAAGTGGCTGAAGCTATTGAAAACAAACCAAGAGATGAGGATTATTTTCTTTATGAATTATGCAACTTTTTAAAATTACTAAATTTGATATAGAATACAGTGAAACCTGATTGATTGAGTAACCCGTGAATCAAAAAGTGACAATTAACACGGCAAAACCCTTTTTTCAACCAAATGTTCAAATATTAACATCTTGTATTTGTTTATAACATTGTCCAGATTGGAAACACAATTTACTTCTGTGAATAAGAGCCAATTCCATAATGGAGACTCACCTTGATCGGTCTGAAAGCTCTGCCAAGTTTAGCYCAGCAGTTCCTCTCTGCAATGTCCAGGTGTCTTCCTCTGCGCCGGAGGAGCTGGAGTTTGCCCTCCAAGTCCTCCAGGTTGCGTCTGTCCTTTGAGGACAGAGGACGTCCATCTTTACACTGATAAGAAAACCAACATACACAAAATTTTACCAGTGAACAGACATGCAATACTGAAAGTACTGCACTTTTGATTTGTACTTCTGTCATGATAGTACCGGTACTTAAAAGATTTATGAGGACTTTTGAAGTAAACATCAAAGAAATGAAGAGCTGCAGGTAAACAATATTACCAGGGACTGTCAAACAAAGAAAATGCCACATAATTGAGATTTATTTGTATTAGTAAATAAACAAAAGCTTAAAACAAGTATAATGTAAAAACTCATGCAACATTTTTGGCAGTGCATCATTTAACAGGAAGATGTTGTGCTATTTGTTTAACAAAAAGATTAAAGTGCCTGTGACATCAATTTTTTGTAATACACATGAATGCATTTTTAGAAAGAGGACTTTGATAAAATATTGCAAAAGAAATTTCATGTTGCTGAGATGAACAGTTGTTGAGATATTTGCCTGTGAATTTACAGGAAGTGATGTCAAAGGGGGATGTCTGCATGTGAACAGAGCATTGCTACAGACTATAGAAAATAATCTGATGTTTCTTAAGATTATTTTGAGTCACTATAGAGAGATGAAGAAGAGTCAGAGTTCAAATAATATTGTTTCAATAAACAAAGACCAGATAGGTTTCTTTGTTTAAGAGTTCCCCTTTGATGTCACTTCCTGTTTCACTTTGGCTGAGCCAAGTTCAAAAGAAAATATGCCAGTTATGGGACAAAYTGGGTTAAAGTGTGTGTATTATTCCAACTTTCTTAAATATAAAGATGTTTTCTTTGACTTTTTGTATTTAAAGAATATGCAAGTCACAGGCACTTTAACAGATATTAGCAAAAACCAAACAAACTGRGAATCCTCTGCTATTCTAGTTTTCTATGTTGAGTTTTAGTTTCACTTGTCATCTAATGTTTGTGACAGATACGGAAGAAATATKTTTTTTCTTTGTAAAACTCAACTGAAGGAGGACAATTACTTTTCTTAATTTCCTTATTTAAGCTGCCTATATTTGAGGAACAGGTAGACAAGGACAATACTCATCCTATATAATGGCATGCAAACAAAGGCTTAAAATAAGTAATTACACTGAAACATTTAACAATTAGTCTGTTTAGTGCTATAAATAATGTCCATATGTGCAGCACATTGRGATTTTAGTTTCCAGTGTTTTTCTGTAACTAGTGAAGAAATTTTAGTTTTCCTTTAAAGTCGCATGCATGTTGTGCTTCCTGTCATTTACTTACTCACCTTGGCTTTCAGATTTTCTATCTGATGCTCAACATCATCAATGTCCTCTGTGTTCTCCAGGCGTTCATAGGCAACACTCCGTGTGCCTTTTATCAGATTCAAAGGCAAAACAGACATTCCATATGCCTGGAAAACAGTGCAAAACTACTATTAGAATCACACACTATTGTCAAAGCAGGGTTGCACATATGGCACGTGTATCCACCCACACACACCAGCTCCTGCCAGACAGCAAGCACATCACAATGTGGAACATGACAACAGTCAACTGAGGGTAAGTAAACACACATGCACACAGCAAATCATGCAGACGCTAAACTCCGAGGCTATGTCATTTTAGGTAGAGGGGGTAAAAAAGATTAAAATGGTGGAATCTATAATTGTGCTGAGGTTTATTGAAGAATTTGCTGCAACCATTTTGTGTGGATATCAGTGCCTTATATCACCCTGATGCATTTACAGCTTAACAGTGCCCCCATGTGACAGCAATATCATAATTCCAACATTTTACAGCAATCGTTTTGAAGAAAAAAGAAAACTGATTTGAAGGTAGGAGTAATAAGGTACCCTATCTATATAAGGGATGTCTGAATAGATTGACTTCTAATAAACATCCCTTTTTTATTATTTTCTTTGCGTTGTGGGGTGTGGGTGGAAGCAGTAACAGTGAAAATACTAAAAAAAAATGGCAGACTCAGATAAAAACAGTGTGAAAGACAGCAAGATAGTAAGAGCAAAATTGAAAAGCTTCTTTAAGCTGAATGGTTTTCAATCTTTTATCAGGATGTCTGAACCTTTATTAAAAATTAAGGTTAAAGTCACAAACACGAAACCAACTAAACAATAAAAATGACAGTGAAAGAAACARGTTTGTGCTTTCTCTGTTGTGTCACTTTTACAAAGTTTCAGAAAGTGTAATTTTATACATGCATAKTAAAACAAAGAGACCTGTGAAATGATAAATTCAGCCTGTCGAATATTTGCTACACTCCTTCTTTCAACAAGCTAAACCATCAAAGTCTTTTTTTTCCCCTTTTTTGGGGGGGTAAAATAACTTTTACTACTTTCTGAGTGTTAAGATAGCATTAAGAGAGCCACGTGGGATACAAAGTCAGGCTACACTATTATTAGTCTCTGCTGTGGATCTCTGCTATGGGCGAATGTCGCTTCCTGCAATGAATCATGGAGCTCTTAGGGCCAGAGCATGTCCCGAATATCAAATACACTCATAAAAGGAAAACCTGTCCCAGATCCCCAGAGAAACATTTCCCTTTCCTTTCAAATGTGCAACTACGCAGAGAAATATGAAAAGACTTCCAGAGGAGTTTACACTTTTACATGTAATGATGCATGCTCATTAAATTTATTTGAAAAGCAACAATGGGTCAAAGATAACCAGGAATAGCTTATCAGAATAGATGGGAATGTGTGTGACTCCGTGTGTGTGGTGGCTCAGGGTGGGAGTCACTGGATGAAAATCACTAAAAGATGTTTTTTTATTCTTGCTGAGTGGGAATAGGCAGAACTTAGATYCAGATTTTCTACACAAGCCTCCTCTTTGTTGCCTCTTGCACTAGTGATGGTAAAGCCAAAATGAGGAGGAAGTGGGGCTACCCTAGCCCCCAGTATTCAATAGAAAGATTGTATAGAACACCACACACCAGTGAACCTACTCACAATATATGCTTACGGCACAACTGGTATTCTAAAACAACAAGGCTAATCCATTAAAAGTTTGCGAATTTGACACAAAAAGCTCCACAAAGCAAGAAAATCGCAACCATTGTGTCAGGAAGTCTGCCGGTAAGGAAGGTGTGTTTGCTTTCATTAAAAAAAGAGGCCAAATACCGTATTTATTCATGCATAATACGATCTCATGTTTAATATGACCCCGCTTTTTTT